CACGAATCAGGCCTCTGTGGCTCTCTCCGACGGCCTCCGGAGGGCACCCTCTCCCGAGTACTAACGTTCATGGACTACATTTCCCATACACCCCGTACCTGGGACTGATTACTGGCACAGGTGTTTCCCCTTAGCTTCCCCATTTAAGCAGCTCCCAGACTCTCAGTGTTCGCGAAGTCTTGTATTGCCCCGGCTACATTTCTGAGCGTTTATCCTGTTTTGAGATCTCTTGTGTATTACCTTGGACTGTTACTACTAGTGTGATTCTCTGCCGCCTGCCCCGACCCTTGCTCTGCCTCTGTTTACTCTCCTGGATTATCCCTGCTGTTCGTGACGCTGTTGTTTGATTACTGCCTTTTTAACTCTGCCTTTGATTTAAATAAAAGCTGCAAATGGATCCGCACGCTTCTGACTCCTCGTTACACTGTGTGTGGCCAAGGTGACCACAAACACATATACAGCTCTGAAATACAAATATACAGGATTTAGAACTTTAAAAAAAGGCTTATAAATTTTAAGTAGGCCTATGATAATAATAATAGATGTCTTTTCGGTAAATTATGCAAAGTGAGTGATTTATGGTGCAGCACAGCTCATGCCAAGAGCAAGGGGCTGAGATTTGAAACAAGCAATAGCAATTCTTCTAATGACTTATGCACGTTCTGTTCCCATTTATATCTGCTGAGCTGTTGAATTCTCAAATCCCAAAGGTGTGATCTTGTACTAGTGTGAGAAAGTGATTCACACTTGCACTTAGAAAATGTTGACCTGCTGTACTATACCTCCTCTGAGATTTAACAGCTGCAAAAAGACATGTAAAGTGAAGGGGCTTTCCTGGGTTGTAGTGAGCCATAGTAAAGTTACATCGACAGCTATAAAGCAACTGTTGCATCAGACCACAGTAGGTTGTCTTTTTCTCTGGGTTCTAAAATAAAATGCCAATATACATGGCACTTTCATAAGCATCCTCCTCTGTTTATCTCTCAACAAATGTCAGAAAGGACCATGATGATGTTCTGAGGTTCTGATACGTAATTTTTGTTGACTAACTGGGCAGGGAATTTTTAATTCCCAGCATGTTTTCCATGTGACTGGGTGGGAAAAGTACATGTTGAAATTAGTCATTATTGTGTGTGTTTTTGAGCAAGACAGAGGAAGAGAAAGAGGAGGGTGTTTAGGTTCTGTTATGTTAGAATTCAGAAGGATTCATGTTGCAGTGAAGTTTTGGGGGTTACTAATAGGGAGAAGAATGGACCCATTTTATTGGACAAATTATTGTGCTGCTGTTATTGTTGGTTGTATTTTTTTCTTGTGCTTTCTGTCAGCATTGTATTGTGAAAACAAATTATTGAATTGATTGAGCCAACTAAATTAAGTTCAGCCAAATCATTTATTATTTGAGTGTAATATAGTGTTGCTTCCTGCTATTATCCTTGTAGTATACAGTATACAAATCTACCTACACTCATGTGTGTCATAGTACTTTATGTGCAACTCGTGAGCTAATTCAACTATGTGCCATTTACTCAAAGTACACAGGAAAGTGAGCAGAGGTGAGAAAGGCACCTAAAAGGTTGTGATTTTTCTCTTTTTAAAATATCTATTTAGCCTGAAATGTATTATTTACTCTCCCAGCATTCGTCTGTCGTGGGTGCAGTGTTCTCTCTCTCTCTCTCTGTTTAATGGAACAGCATCACCTGCCCTCATTTCTTTATTCAGAAAGCCTTATGAAGTGCCGGGAGACTCAGCCATGAGGTGGAGAGCATACAGATGCACCAGTTGTTTACCGTGATTTTTTTATAGTCATTGTATTGAAAGTGCCGTGATCAAGTAAAGAAATCGTTTTGGATTCGGAGTAAAGCGGCGTTTGCGCAGCTCTGTAAGATGATTTGATGTAACAGTCTGTGATCGGTGGCACATGCATGCAAGACGACCGAGCGAGATATTTAGGCGTGTAGAGGAGCCGGATTTGCAAGGATTCTGGTAAAACATGTCTGAGGAGGTTAGCAGAGTAAAATTCAGCTGATGCTCTGAGTCCATCTGGGCTTTTTAGAGCAATCCGAGAAACACTGACGTTTAAATTGCATGGGGCTATTTTTTCCTCTGCGAGCGGGTAAGTAGGTTACGTTACTTCACCTGTTCCTTACCTTAAAGTCATACAGTCACCACAGTATTTTTCTCGTTTCACAGACTCTGGTCTCTTTACGCAGAAATATAGGCTACACTGTAAAATATGTTGTCAGGTAAACTAAAACGTGTTTCATATGGAAACGCTTACTGTTTTGTCAACATTAGTTAAAAGACTGAATCAATAACCTGACTGTGACTATATTAGAATACACAAATCGAAGTATGTTAAGGGTAGCTAACAACTGCATGTTTTTAGTTAGTTTTAGTAAATCATCGTATTTGAGGTAA